CCACAAATGGTGGATGAATGACACCTTTTAATTAAATTAATCTGGCAACATTGCAGAGGTGAGACTAGGAGGAGAGTCTGGAATCATTAAGCTTATTGTATTAATTCATGTCTGCAGTTCTGTGGGCCTGAACTCCCATGGTCCATAATCCTGGTGGGAATTGAGATGGTGTCATCCAATTTAAAAAGGGACTAGCCACAAGAGTGAGGAGAATGCAAATGTTGGAAATTATTTCCCAAAGTGCTGTTTTGTTCCTCAGCTAGTCCCTTCCCTCTCATGCAGTTGTTTATTAAATCATTTCGAATGTATGCCGCTGCTGCTGTTGTTCCTAAGATGCTTAACATTTCTTTATCTCTTATAAATGACAGTCTCCATAACCTCTCCCCATCCAGCCCTCATTATTTTTCCTTTTAATCTTAAACTAAAAATGTGCTCCTCAGGCACTCTCTGGTTGTTAATTGGAATGTCATTGGTGAAGCTTGCATGGTGGCATTGTATTTATTGGGTTGGCCAAAAGGTTCATTTGGGTTTTTCTATAAAATCTTATAGAGAAACCTGAATGAACTTTTTGGCCAACCCAATAATTACTTCCCTCTATTGTCTTAATTCTGCTCCACCCCCACCCACCTTGTTCACATCTGAAACTGAAAGTCTCCTTTTAACCCCTTGATCTTAGCACTTAGTTAAGTAGAAGGCAGGTGGGTGTCCAGGGATGGGCCCAAATGCTTAATTCTCTTTATTCAGATCTGAATGGGAATCACCTCAAGCAGCAACACCTATCCCTAATGTGTAGTTGCAGGAGAGTTCTTTAAGAGCTGTGATTCTCAAAGTGTGGTTCCTGGATGAGCAGCAGCATCTGGGAAATGCAAATTCTTAGGGTCCCATACCAGACCCACTGGATCAGTAGCTCTGAAAAATGGGGTCCACCAGTGTTTTACCAAGCCCTCTAGGTACATGCTGAAGTTTGAGAAACACTGTTCTGGGGAAATGTTTTGAAAGGTTTGGGCAGCCAGGCTCAGCGAGTTAGGAAAACAGACTTCAGAAAACATTAGGAAAAGTGTAGCGGCTGAGAAGAGAGGCAATTACTTCCTTCTTGGAGGTAGTCTAGACATCACAACTGCCAGAAGTGAGACTTTGTCCTTAGCCCCCTACCCTTTGAAAAACAACCTGTGCAATCATTGCTTACTTCATACTTTGGAAAGACAAGTTCTTAAGTCAGTCTTCAAGAAGGACTGTTGGATCTTCCTGCTCAAAGGTTCACCTGTATTGTTAAATAGGTGGAGAAATAGATATATTTCCCACTTTGGTCAGCCTCATTCTCCTCTGTAGAGACATCTGAATACTAAGGATATGCTTACTTGATGGTCAAGTGGGAACAGAGGTTTGTATTTCAGTCTCTGTTCTATACTGAATGTTTATCCCATCAGAAGCAGCTTTTTATTGAGGTTCTTTTGAAGGTGCCCCAATCATAGTGTCCTGATCAAAATGCTAAATTTGCCTGAAGTTTTAGTACCAGGCTTGATCCATGGACTGTAGGAGCCTAGTAATTAACAGTCCATCAACTTACCAAGTATCTTAGGTCCTCTAATTAGTAAGTTACTAGTTAACCAAGAACAATTGACAGAAAGTCAGCTCTACCACCAGGACTAATGTTTTTATTTCAGTTTTTAAAACCCTCCTTTTTTATCTGTTGGCAACATGTCTATAAAAATCCTATTCTAATGTGGGCATGCCTCATCAGAATGGCGATCCAAATTGAAGTGTGTAATTCAGAGTCACTTCCCTTTGTAGGGAAAAAAAAAGTGTTTTCTTTTCTAGCTCCTAAAACTTCTAGACAAGGAACTCTTCTATTTTACACAAAAAGGAAGAAGAGTTTATATTTCATTCTCCATTCTACAGTGAGCATTAATCATTAAGATAAAGTCTCATTGGGAGGAAAATAAATCCTGGCTAGTATGGCCAACCTTTTTGTTGTTGAATTCTGCATTTTCTTTTTATGAGATCAATGAACTTCTCTATGGGTTGTTTCCATTTGAGGAATGAAATGATGGGGCTTTAGAGTCTCTGCTCTGTTGTCTTTGACTGTATGGGTCTGTGGACTAAAGGCTCTCAGAGGATTTATCTCAGAGGGGATCTTGATAAACAGTTCTGATATTTCTTGAGAAAACTAGGCAGGAGATTTCTCCTTGGTCTCTCATGCAACCAGGAAAGAGCTGAGAGGGATAGAAAATAGACTCTCTGACCACTCTGGTCCTATCTGGGTTCCAGGGGCCAGCCTCTTCTGTCCCAGAATTTCCTGTTTCTCTCCTACTTCATCTTAGCAGAGTGGCTCATATTACTGGTGAGCTTCAGCCAGAGGGAAAGTTGCCAGCCCCAGCAGCATAATTTACTCCCTTTATTATTTCAGCTCAAAGTATAAGTCTCAAGGAATGATATAAAAGGATGATTAAATTAATTCTCGAAAATTCTGAAAGACCAGAGAAAAAGTCTATTATGATTTCAACATTGCTTTCTGTAAATCAGGGTGTTGTAGAGGTATATTTTTCAGCACAGTGTTCTTTCTTTACCATCAAGCCCTCTTATTGCTGCCTTTGGGGATGGGCAGTATAGGAGGGAGCAGCAGAAATAACAAGGAAGGCAAGGGATAATGGAAATTAGGTGCTACAGCCCAATTCCTTATACTGTTTTAATTATCTGCTTCCATTTATGTTGAACCAAAATATCTTCAGTGATATTGAGCTAGCATCTCTTCCCCACTGTTCCACTCTCTTCCACAGCCTAGCAAATGCTTTCCTGCTCAGTGTGTTTCAAGGTTACTATGAAATTGACACAGAAGCCATGGAAGTAATAGGAGTTAAGGAACTCACACGGACCCCCAAATGTGCCACCAATGACTATTGTGAGGGCGATAATTAAGGTTATCATTTGGCCTTGGTGAAGTTATAGTGGGTTTTCCATAGCAGACTTGGGACATCTCTGTCTCTTTGATAATATACACATCAATCTTGATGTGGAAGTTTATAATACACAGCTAAGTCATTGCTGGCACAAGGGAAGACATGAGTACAATATTGTATTTCCCTGCAGGATCCTCCCCTATCCTCAATCTGTCGCTCACTCTTATGCACACACCTACACGCACACATACACCATTTACTCTTCAGTATTTTGGTAGCACATCATACCTGTGATTTACATAGTATAGAAACACATGGTCTCCTCATCACTTGGTATCAATAGTGGACTTCTGGTCAACCTAGTTCATATACTTCTTTCCGCTGCACCTAGAGTAGCAAAGAACTCTAACACTTGTGGACCCCGTGGGTCTTGTTCTTGAAACAAAACAAAATTCCATCATAGATTGAGGATTGTAGAAGTGTCACTTGTTAACTCCTGTCCTAGATTCTCCTTTTTTCACTGAATCTGAGTGAGGGAGCAGGCAAAGAGCAGTGGCAGGCTATGGTGTTCAGTTTCTTTTGCTCCTGCCTTGTTTCAACATTGGAGTAAGCAAATTCCATGCTATCTTTCCTCCCACTTTCCTTTAGTGAAAACCCAATACTTGCCATTTCCTTTATACAAACCGTTTTCAGTGTTTATTTTTTGTTCAGTCTGCTTAGTTTGTAAATGCAAATGTAGACTCCTCTTCATGCTTGTCTGTAGGGTTTTCCACATATCTGTGATTTGGGAGATGACAAAGGGCATGTTTGACTTGTAATACAGATAAAGAATGGATAAATCCAGTGCATGTAACATGATCGGAGAGTCCCACAGACTGTCACCCTGCCTTTAAGTGGGCCCTGCATATCTGTACTGCGCAGATTCCTGCCTGTTGAACAACCAAGAATTGCCTTTACAAAAGTACAACTATACTAACTAGTATTGCACACAGCAATTTCCAACGTGGTGATACTTGGAAATCCTCCATCCTGCACCTCACAAGTTAGCCCTCTCCCATCCTGGAGGTCCATGTTGCTTCCCATCTGGGGAAAGTATTTTACTTCTCCCCACCCTCCCCTATCCTTTCCCTCACCACACCTTCTTGACATTCCTGGCCTGAGTGGTACCATTGGCTTACTGATAACAGTGTACTATAAATTTTCATTCACAGTTTTGAAAGGCTTATGAGGCTTTCCTACTTCCCATACAGCCCAAACTTTGGGACTTTTCACACTCTGGTCCTCTGATCAGTTTGATGCAGGAAAGCACACGGAAGCCACGTACCAGTTTGTATAGTTGTACCCTTTTGAACTGCCTACTCTCGAACAGAGTGTGCTGGGGGTTCGCATTGGCTGCTTGACACACACAAGGGCAATTAACCTGCATGCCAAAAAATAAAAATTAACCCTTAGAGTACTGCTTCAATTGATTTAATGGTCTTGAATTCTACCAGTTGGGCAATGCTTCTTTCCCCAGACCAGAGTGCTGCATATAAGTGCATATTTAGTTTCACCAGGACATCCACCAGGATCCTCTCCTCCACGGCTTTCCTGAGATGCTCCTGGTCCTTTATCATTAATCAACCAATGGCTTTTAAAAGGTCCAAAACAGAACCACTCTGTTTAATTGAAAGTGGACTTCATTTCTAATGTGCTGGAGAGTGGGAGGGACTGCTTTTAGCTTAGGTTTGTGTCCTCTCAAAGAAAGAAGTCAGTTCTTTAAGGGTTAATATGAAATTGAGGAATTTGGTGGTCTCTTCTGCTTGTCCTTCCTTCAAGGTGTCTGCATGATCCTCTTTAGATTCTTAGCTCAACTGTTGAATGATAATGGAAACAGTACATGTATCAAATGATGAAAACAAAGAACAAAAGACTGTATGGTTGAATGGAAAGACCCCTTGGCAATGCTTGCTTGATGATCACAGGGGATATAAAGACCAAATGTTTTATTTTTTGAACGTTCATTTTGTCCTCTTCCCTAAGCACCGTCACTGCACAGCGATGTGGAACGCGTGATGATGCTTTTCATTTACCTCTTGCTTTTCTCTTCTTCCTGTCTAATAGCCCAATAGAATCCTGCCAGAATTTCTACAAAGATTTCACATTACAGATCGACATGGCTTTCAACGTATTCTTCCTTCTCTACTTTGGCTTGCGGGTAAGTTTGAACAACACTGCTCGGTATCACAATGGAGCATGTGAGTCTTGTACCTAGGGACCATTCCCCATCAGCATCTGCTCCCGCAGTCAAGATGAAGCCCAATGTTTGCAAGGAGACAAGAGACCCGAATTCTGATTTTCATTTTGTGAGAGAGCCGTTTCCTTAGGTCAGCATTTCCTCATGTATATGTTAATTTTGTTCTGAGCAGGAGAAATAAGGATTGAAATGACTATTACACTCTTACTGGTCTACTGTTTCTCATCTCTCTATTCACACACGAATGCATGGTTGCCTTAAACAGGAGGGAAAACCTTCCACTCTTAAAATTATGTTTATCAGTGCTCACTTAACTGAATCCTGAGAGAACAGTGAGTTGTGAGGGTTGCATCAAGGGGGTAGATTGGCAGAATTGAGGGCTCGGAGGATTTATCCAAACCATGTCTACAAAGGGAGCTGTATAGAGACTGTGTGGGTGAATATTTACAGTAGAGACTTTAAAAAGGGTGAGATTACTCAAACTGCCCTATAATGCTATTGAAAACCACAGAAAAATGTACTCCCTGATCTTTCTCCAAGGCTCACAGAGTATATAGTCACTCTCTAGAAAAGACTGTGGATCCAAATTCTAAGACAGAAATAGCAAGGGATTGGCGTAGATATAAGAAGAACATAGCATCTCCCTCTAGGCCCCCATGAGAAACTGAAATGTACCCTTTGGAAGAAAGAGTATAGTTTGTTGCAGAGCCCCAGTTTGAGTTCCCTGAGTCATGCAGCAAATTCCCACTGGCTATCTCTTTTCCATATGGTAGTGTAGATACTTCCATGTTACTCTCTCCATTCCTCCCCCCACCTTCCCCCCCCATACCCCATGTCTATAAGTCTGTTCTCTATGTCTGCATCTCCACTGTTGCCCTGTGAATAGGTTCATCAGTATCAACTTTCTAGAATTGAGGGGTGGGAAGAGGTGGGAGGTAGGGGGGAGGCTTAAGAAGGAGGGGACACATGTATACCTGTGGCTGACTCATGTTGACGTTTGGCAGAGACCAACACAATATTGGGAAGCAACTTTCCTTCAATTAAAAATAAAAAAGTCTGGGGGGAGGGGAGAGAATAGTTTGCATGCCGGCACCATGCTTCTCATTTTTTTTCTCTCTCTCTTGTTTTTTCTTTCCCCCAGTTTATTGCAGCCAATGATAAGCTATGGTTCTGGCTTGAAGTGAACTCTGTAGTAGATTTCTTCACGGTCCCCCCTGTGTTCGTGTCTGTGTACTTAAACAGAAGTTGGCTTGGTAAGTCAATCTCTTTCCCTTCTTTTTTACTGGCTCCTGAACCATGGCTGAAATACATAAGGTGGTGCATCTGGGATGCACTGGAAGTCTGAGAATCCACAGAAAGAAACCTTCCTGGATTTGTGTGAACAGCTCTCGGAGTTTTAGAAGCTGATGGTGAGAGTTTTCTCTCAGAAGCCAGCACTAGCCAAGAAGAATGTGAACCGTGAATGCTTCAGAGAATGCAGTTTTATCATTGTTGAAGCCCAGGGGTCATCCTGGTCACAGCCAGAGCCTCTACATTCACGGTTCTCTTACTTTTCATTCAACAGAGAATGGGCACAAAACTTTCCACGTAACTGGTTCAGGTGCCCCAGGAGGCCTGCCTGCCAGCGTTAGCTTCTGTCTGCTTCACAGTTTTGTGATGGGTGGACCTGTGTGGTTTAATTAAAATTGTGAGCTCCTTTGTGCGGTGGGATAAGACACCTTCACCTTGAGGGAGATCCAGCTTCTTCCCTGTGTTAATGGAGGAGCTTTTGCTGGAGCTGTGTTCACACCTCACTTCCTGAATTTGCTTGACAGGTCACTTCCTGTATCAAGTCTAGGATAATTTAGTGGGGAAAGTAACTAATTCAGAGGATGGTCCAGGGAGCCAAAGGTTTAGAGAGGCAGCTATTGGGTTCTCTTTGTCACACTGAGTAATTTCCTCAGAATGTTCTTGCTGTCACAAGTCTACAGAGGAAGTGGGGCGGCTGAAATAAGACTTGGAGGACAGTTTGTGGGTTCCCTCTGTCTTTATTTTCAGAGGTTTCTGGTCTTAACCTATTTCTTCAAAGTAATATATATAATAACATCAATAGTCAAAGATGTATAAAGAAAATATTAAGTACCTCTTTTGCCCACATCCATCACTACCTTCTCCCTGGGATGCTCAGTGTTACAGACTTCCACATCTTTCCTTTGTGCTGATTTCACCACCAACAAACACAGATGTGCATATATCACAGTGTTTTAGAGATGGTGGTCTTCATATGAAACCATTGTTATCAGTCACATCACACTGCAGTTGGCTCTCTTACTAAGTAATAAGTAACGGCCATCCCTTCAGCTCTGTAATGATTCATTTTATGACAGTTGTGCAAAATCCCATACATTGCTCTAGCGCATTTATTCAGCCATTACCCAAATGATGCACCTCATGATTGTTTACTTTTCTACTATCAACAGTGGTTTGGTAAGCACTCTCATCCACATATCCATACAGTTCTATCTTTAGAGATAATTCCAGGTTCCTGGAAGAGGACTTGCTGGATCAAAGAGTATGTGTATTTTAGTTTGTAGAGATATTAATGGATAACTTTTCAAAAATGTTGTGTCAAAATATGTTTCTGCTAGCACTTTTGATGTCCTTGCTAGTCCTGTAAATTTATTCTATACCTAGTACCAAGTACTTTTAAAACAAGAATCTTTTATATATGATGTATGCAGTAATACATACATGTATGTATGTATCTCTGTGTGTATATCATGTGGATTCTGTTTTCTGCTAGTTTTCTCATTTGAGTTGTGTTTACTTGCTCAAGGGGAATGTTTTCGTCCTTGATTTGAGATGTGCTCTCTTAGATGGGATTTTCTGGCCAGCATGGTGAGACCATTAGAGCCACACACCCAAGTGAGAAGCGTCCTGAGTATCCTTTAATGGCTCTGATGCCCAAGATCCTGGCCACTTCGGCTGAGCTCTTAACCTGCCTTGTGATGTGGGGAACTCACTTTTCTTCCCTCTCCCTAGTGTTTTTCATCTGTAAAATAGAGGTTGGGCTAGATGATCTCTAAGATTCTTTTATTTCAGAAAATTTCTAAACCTCTTGCATCGTTCATGGGAACTTTGAGAAAATTTGAGATCTTGGTTGTTATAGAGGACTAGGAAGTTAGTTAAATTAATCACCAGCATACCTGGGTCAAAGTTATGTATGGATTGCTAATCAGAGCCCTTTCTAAACCATCCCATTGTGACTCGTACACACACACACACACACACACACACACACACACAAGCAAAGAACAAAGGAAGGGAGAGAAGGAAGAGAGTGGGAGGGAGAGAGGGAAAGAGAGAGAAGATTGGAAGAGAAAAGAGAATAAGGGAGGAGGAAGAAAAGGAATCTGCCTTCTCTTCATGGTTGGGCTCTAATTCCTCTGTGCACTCGAACAGACACTACTTTCCCGGACCCTCAGTTTTCCCATTGGAAAAGCGGGAGATGTGGACTTAAACTACCTTCCAGTCCGTGCACTTCCCAAATCTGAATTTGATGTCAGGGCCCCTGTGGTCCTGGAGGATGGGAGGGACCCCTTCCTGGCCGTGGCGCAGACATCCCATCTCTGCAGCCAGCAGGGCTCACCCCTGGTGTGGAGCCAGGTCTCCCTCTTTTGCGTGAGTGCAAGTCTCCCTGAATAGTCACTATCAGGAGGACTTAGATCTTGTGAAAACCCATTCCTTTCTGTGGATGATGTCATTCTGACCTTTGGAGGTGTTCTGATCTAGTAAAAATCTATCTGAGCAAACAGATAGGAAAATGGAAGAAAGAGGAAAGGGGGTTGGGGGAGGGATAAATTAGAAATTTGGGATTAGCAGATACAAACTATTATATATACAACAGATAAATAACAAGGGCCTACCGTATAGCACAGAGCTTCTCAGGTGACTCAGTGGTAAAGAATCTACCTGCAATACAGGAGACGTGCATTCGATCCCTGCATTGGGAAGATCCTCTGGAGAAGGAAATGGCTATCCACTCCAGTATTCTTGTCTGGGAAGTCCCATGAACAGAGGTGCCTGGCAGGCCACAGTCCATGGGGTCACAAGGAGTTGGACATGACTTAGGGACTGAGGACACATGTGCTACATAGCACAGGGAACTATATTCAGTACCCTATAATAAACTATAATGGAAAATAATATGAAAAATTATATATATATATATATATATGTATATATATATATATGGCATCCCAGATGTCACTAGTGGTAAAGAACCTGCCTGCCAATGCAGGAGATATAAGAGATGCAGGTTCGATCCCTGGGTTGGGAAGATCCCCTGGAGGAGGGCATGGCAACCCACTTTAGTATTCTTGCCTGGAGAATCCCATGGACAGAGGGGCCTGGCAGGCTACAGTCCATGGGGTTGCAAAGAGTCTGACACAACTGAAGTGACTTAGCACATGTGTACAGATAAATCACTTTGCTGTACACCAGAAATGAATACAACATTGTAAATCAACTATACTTCAATTAAACAAAAAAAGGGGGGCAGAGACAGAAAAGAGAAGAGTAGTGAGAGATGCTTTCTTCAGTTGTATTTGCTTTTCAAAAACATATGCTCTAAAATATGCTTTAATTTGCTCACGAATTGAACATTGTTTATAAAGCAGCTATTATGTGCCATGTACATTTTTCATATGATTAGGAAACAGCAGTGAATAAAGTAGGCAGCATCCCACCCTCTGACATTGCAGTGGGGGAAGAACAGAACAAAAAAAGCCTAATAAATAAGTAAATTATATAGTATGTTAGGAAGCATAAGTGCTCAGTCGCTTCAGTTTTGTCCAACTCTGTGACGCCATAGACTGCAGCCCTTTAGGCTCCTCGTCTGTGGGATTCAAGTGCTATTAAAATTGAAAACAAAGACCAACAACCTCTGAGGCTATGAGATACTAATAACTACTAATAACCTTTCTCCTCTTTTAGGAGAAAACACATTTAATGAAATACTTTTCGTTCTTTGGTGACTAAGCCTCTTGGGTGAAATCCAAAACTGGTCTGCCTGTTATGGAAGAGAATTCAGTATAGTAATATTTCAAGGAGGTCCCCATTGTGATTTAATGCATAGGTTATTGCACCATGAAACAGTTATTGTTCCGATGAGCTGCCAGAGATAAAATGAACATTCCCATGAGATGTGGCTTATAAAGTAAAAGGAATAATTCCATTAAATAGGGCATTTCAGAAAGCTCTGCCCTCCTCTTAGTAAATGAAAAGTACTGCCTTTGCTGGCAGAGGTTTAGGACAAAATGCAGGAAAATTGAAGTCTGTCCCAAATCTGCACACGCTTCTTGAGCCCACGCTAAGTTGTGTCAGACATTTCAGTCTTGTCTGACTCTATACGACCCCATGGACTGCAGCCTGCCAGGCTCCTCTGTCCATAAGATTCTCTAGGCAAGAATACTGGAGTGGGTTGCCATGCCCTCCTCCAAGGAATCTTCCCCACCCAGGGATTGAACCTGCATCTCTTATGCCTCCTGCATTGGCAGGAGGGTTTTTTAACACCTGGGAAGCCCGGTCAAGAGCAGAGGACTGTGCTGCAGCTGGCACCATCAGGGATAAAAAGTGAAATGACCATCACGTCCCCTGCCTTTACATTTTCTGAAGCATAACTTGCATCACATTTGACTTCCTACTCTTAACACATGGTTGCATATTATACAGTACAGTCTTTTATTTTTTTGCATGCATCGTCTTAGTCCATTGGACAGTCTGTTAATAAAAACATCTAGTATTTATTCCGGTTGTGCTATGCACTGGGCCCTTGATAAACCCTAGCATACATGAAGTTGGTCCTCAGAGCAAACCTGTCAAGGAGGAATTATCTTCCCATTTTACAGATAAGGAAATGGGGGCTCAGAGGAGCTCTGTCTCTTGTCCAGGATTCTGTAGCTTGGGAGTAGGGGAAAGCCTTCCTTACCCGAGATCTAGTCTGACTTCAGGCCCATTTTCTTATGCTGCTCTCCTGCCCCTGTCTGACCCTTCTGAGGGGTTTGGGGCTTTGAGGACTGGGTTGGGAATAACTGAGCCACTGTTACTGCTTTATGTTGGCATCTCTAGCTCATCCTGGGGCTGCAGGCAGGCAGGGAGGGGAAGAGGTCTTACTTAAAAACACACAGCTCATGTCTCCTCTTCTCACTCTTCCTTATCGACCGCCAGTTTCTAGAACTAGAGCTAGCGTGGAGGCTCCCGAGTCCCAGACTAT